CTCAAGCTCCAACTACCACAGTCAAACCAACAACTACTCAAGCCCCAACTCCCACTGACAAACCAACAACTACTCAAGCTCCAACTACCACAGTCAAACCAACAACTGCTCAAGCTCCAACTACCACAGTCAAACCAACAACTACTCAAGCTCCAACTACCACTGACAAACCAACAACTACTCAAGCTCCAACTACCACAGCCAAACCAACAACAACTCAAGCTCCAACTACCACAAACAAACCAACAACTACTCAAGCTCCAACTGCCACTGACAAACCATCAATTACTCACCCTCCAACTACCACAAACTACCACACAAACTTACATACACTAAACCATGCACTTATTCAGTTAGTACTCTTAGAACAGATACACCACACAAACTTACATACATTAAACCATGCACTTATTCAGTTAGTACTCTTAGAACAGATATACCATAAAAACGTGTTCCACCTGCACTGCTACTAATTGTTATAATATTAACTCTTTACTTACACTTCTCCCTACTTACCTAAAAAAACACCAGGTTGCGCTAAACAAACGCCAAACGTTTTGAGCTATAGTTTTAAAATAAATTATAATAGACACAACCAAAGCGATCACAACTGAAATGATCGGATTATCCATTAACTGGAAAAACAATAATATTTCATTTCAATAAATATTCATGTTATGTATTTGATAGATATGATTAAAATATGTATAATAAAATGAATTTATGAAAAATTAAAAGACTTAATAGATCAACATAAAAGTATTTCAAACTGCGATCGATAACAGACTAGTATTAAAACATAGTAAATCCCGATAAAGGTTTAGGATTACAAAGATACAGATAAGATAAACAGTATAATTGACAAAGTGCTAAAATACGCCTTAGGGTAAAAGAAATATAATATTAAAAAGAATGAAATACATAATGTCTTAGGACAGGAAGACCTATTATTAAAACATTCAATATGTATGATATAAAGCATCTGATGTATAAAAGTTTGTAAAAATCCCTATTAATCCCCTAGTGTGTGTATTTTTAAATATTTCTTTAGTTAAAGTAATTGTCATTTTCACGTGTAAAATACAAGTCCCCTAAATATAAGTGATTATTTACCACGTCATCTTAATATAAAATTACATTTGACATTTTATTTAATATATCTCAAAGTGTGGAGTAGTTGTTTGATTTGTTCTTCTTTCATTATTTATTATTTGATACTATTCCTGTTGGTATATCCTGTACTGGATGACATTTTTACCGTCATCGTTCTGTCAAGTTCAAACTTTTGTCGTCTGATAAGGTTGCTATATAGCTTTTTTGTTATAGTCACTTTATTATCGTCTGATAACGTGTTCTTGTTATAATTACTTAAATAAATAAACTTACTTTCTTCTGATAACGTCTTCTTATTGTAATTACTTAAATAAATAAACTTACTCTCCTCTGATAACGTCTTATTATTGTAATTACTTAAATAAATAAACTTACTCTCCTTTAATAACGTCTTCTTATTGTAATTACTTAAATAAATAAACTTACTCTCCTCTGATAACGTCTTATTATTGTAATTACTTAAATAAATAAACTTACTCTCTTCTGATAACGTCTTTTTAAAATCACTTTGTTATTATATGATAATATCTTTTAAAGTCGCTTTGTTATTATATGATAACATCTTTTAAAATCACTCTGTTATTATATGATAATATCTTTTAAAGTCACTTTGTTATAATATGATAACATCATTTAAAGTCACTTTGTTATTATATGATAGTCTTTTTAAAATCACTTTGTTATTATATGATAACATCTTTTAAAGTCACTTTGTTATTATATGATAACATCTTTTAAAGTCATTTTGTTATAATATGATAACGTCTTTTCAAATCACTTTGTTATTATATGATAATATCTTTTAAAGTCACTTTGTTATTATATGATAATATATTTTAAAGTCACTTTGTTATCATATGATAACATTTTCTTAAAGTCACTTTGTTATTATATGATAATATCTTTTAAAGTCACTTTGTTATTATATGATAGTATCCTTTAATGTTACTTTGTTATCATATGATAGCATCCTTTAAAGTCATTTTGTTATCATATGATAAAGTCTTTTAAAATCACTTTGTTATTATATGATAATATCTTTTAAAGTCACTTTGTCATCATATGATAACGTCTTTTTAAAGTCATCTGTTATCATATGAGAAGATATTTTTTATTAACTTTGTAATGGTCTGGTTTTGTCGTTTTGTGTTTGTCTTGAACATATTATATATTGTCTTGAACATAATTATTAACATATTATATCGTTCTGTCGGTTCTCGTTTTCTACATATTAATTTTTCTCATAAGATATAAAATGTTTAAAAACATTCCTTTTAGCTCATATCAATTTGATACCATACCTTCTTGTGAAGCACTCGTTTCACCAGTGGTTCTAGTAGATGTTGAGCTGGTTTGATAATTTTCTGTTGTGATAGAACTTGAAGTTGTTGGTTTCTTTGTGGTAGTTGGACCTTCAGTAGTTGTTGGTTTCGAAGTGGTAGTTGGAGCTTCAGTAGTTGTTGGCTTGGAAGTGGTAGTTGGAGCTTCAGTAGTTGTTGGCTTGGAAGTGGTAGTTGGAGCTTCAGTAGTTGTTGGTTTGGAAGTGGTAGTTGGAGCTTGAGTAGTTGTTGGTTTGGAAGTGGTAGTTGGAGCTTCAGTAGTTGTTGGTTTGGAAGTGGTAGTTGGAGCTTCAGTAGTTGTTGGTTTGGAAGTGGTTGTTGGAGCTTCAGTAGTTGTTGGTTTGGAAGTGGTTGTTGGAGCTTCAGTAGTTGTTGGTTTGGAAGAGGTAGTTGGAGCTTGAGTAGTCATTGGTTTGGAAGTGGTAGTTGGAGCTTGAGTAGTCATTGGTTTGGAAGTGGTAGTTGGAGCTTGAGTAGTCATTGGTTTATTTATGGTTGTTGGAGCTTGACTAGTTTTTGATTTTTTTGTGGTTCTTGGAGCTTGACTAGTTGTTGGATTCTCTGTGGTAGTTGGAGCTAGAGTAGTTGAAACTTGAGTAGTTGTTTGTTTGTTTGTGGTAGTAGGAACTTCAGTAGTTGTTGGTCTGTTTGTTGTACTTGGAGCTTGAAGAGTTATCGCTTTGTCTGTAGTAGTTGAACCTTGAATAGTTGTTGGTTTGTTTGTGGTAGTAGGAACCTGAGTAGTTGTTGGTCTGTTTGTGGTTATTGGAGCTTCAGTAGTTGTTGTATTATTTGTAGTAGCTGGAAATTCAGTTGTTGTTGGTTTGTCTGTCGTAGTTGGAGCTTGAGTAGTTGTTGGTTTGTTTGTGGTAGTTGGAGCTTGAGTAGTTGTTCGTTTGTCAGTGGTAGTTGGAGCTTGAGTAGTTGTTGGTTTTACCACACAAACTTACATAAATTAAACCATGCACTTATGCAGTTAGTACTCTTAGAACAGATACTTATCTGTTCTAAGAGTACTAACTGAATATGTGCATGGTTTAGTGTATGTAAGTTTGTGTGGTGTATCTGTTCTAAGAGTACTAACTGAATAAGTGCATGGTTTAGTGTATGTAAGTTTTTATGGTATATCTGTTCTAAGAGTACTAACTGAATAAGTGCATAGTTTAGTGTATGTAAGTTTGTGTGGTATATCTGTTCTAAGAGTACTAACTGAATACGTGCATGGTTTAGTGTATGTAAGTTTGTGTGGTATATCTGTTCTAAGAGTACTAACTGAATACGTGCATGGTTTAGTGTATGTAAGTTT